TTTTTATGTATTTTTACTTGTTTTTCTTTTTTTTTTTTATTTTTATATTTACTAGTTATCTTTCGAATTCAGTTTACAAATAAGTTAAAAGTGCGCGCAACTAATAATTGTTAGAGTATTTTTATCTACGCAATACAAGAAATTAAACAAATTAATATAATATATTACAATCGAATAAAAACGGCGGGGATGGTAAAATCAACAAATATTTTGCTCAGAACTTGGCTATCATAATACCCCGCATTGGCAAAGAACAAAATCTTACTTGTTTTATGTGTTAATTTGTTAAAATATTTGAAATATTAAAGAAAAAACACAAAAAAACTAAGCTGACATTCGAAAAAAATAAGAAACGTGCGTAGTTGCATAATATTACTGAACGGGAAGGCAAATATATGTATGTATGTATATGTAGGGGCGGGTGTTGACGGAGGAGTAAATGAATGTTAAACAATTTCTCTCGTTTGAACGCACGATTCCAAATGTCCCAACCAAAGTACAGCCGTTTCAAAACAGCACGTAGCTCATACTATACGGTGGTAGGTACGACGGACTCGATGCGAGCAGCGCCAGCATCACCGCCTGCAGCAACGTCACCATTTTTCTGTAGCACCGGTTTCCACCCGCAGCTTTCTTCTCATCAAACTTGAGCAAACTCTACATTGGACCGTGACGGGTTTGTCTGTTGTGATTGCACAACGCCTGATTGATCGCCTTCCGCCTAAAAGAATATAAAAATAATAATAATATTATTACATGGCTGTATATTTGTGTTATTAAAACAAGAAAAACGTTAAGTTCGGCTGCATCGAAACTTAATACCTTCACAGGTGCATAGCAAAAAAAGATTATAACAATATCTTATCTTAAAATTGATCGGTCAGATTTTATGGCAGCTATGTTTATGCTTAGTGGCCTGGTCTGATAATATCTTCCGAGATAACAAATATGCCAAATTTCGTGAAGATATCTTGTCAAATTCAAAACGTTTTCCATACAAAGACTTAAATTTGACTGATACTTTGTTAGGAACTATATCCTATAGTAGTCGGATATCAGCGGTTCCGACAAATGAGCAGCTTTTTAATTTCATTATGAAAAATTAAATAATTTTCCTATGCAAAGTAGCTGATAGTTTTGTACTTACACCTTGTTGTTCAGTGTCGATTTGAGAATTTAGCGCCACGTTGGTTGCGACGTCCGTAGCGCGACGACCACGGCGACGACTGCGTCCATTCTGATTTTGTTCAATATCGGTATCCACTTTTCAGCACAATTACTTTACCGGCATTCTCTTCGCTTTCCTTAAGCACCTGAAGGCAGGTACAATCTTAAGACGACGCTCCGAAAGCAATTCCCAGAATATGCCAGTCGGACGTGGCAACCGTGTGCTGACATGTATAACCTCTGTGGGTGTTATACAATTAAGTCAACAGGAGGTATCGTATTTTTGAAATAGCTCATTTGGCAGCTATCAACAACCTAGAAGCAAATGTTTGTAATATATTAAAAATCATTGGAATATTTGATGCAAATGCACAGAACGCTTGCAGCATAGCTTATCAATTAATATAGCGACGATACTATTGAATATTTCCTTAGTTCTATATACTGAGGGATAGGCTTACATACAAATATATTGTATGTTGCTTTATGTCATACCTGCAGGTCATGTACCATCGTAGCGATTACTGTGTCGGGTGTAATTGAACCAATTTCCGTAAGTAACCCAATATCCACATCGGTGAAACCTTTACCGCGTCCAATACGGTAACCATCTCGTGATACTACCACCGAACCAATGACTTACCATATCCAACTTAACTTTGCTATCTAAAGCTGTAAAAGAAAACGAGTGGTGTTGATGTAAAACACTATTGGGAAATGATGTCATGGTGACATTGATTATTCAAACCGTATGTAACTTACTTATTTCAGTGCGATGTTGCTGGACATCTTGTACATTTAAAATTTCCTTCTTCTGGTCATCTGTGGCGTCAGCAGGTACGTCAACTTTTAAATATATAGCTTTAGAGTCACGCGTTCCTGGTAAATACAAATTTTCCAGCTATCAGAGTTTCCAATTTAACCGAATGCAAAGCGCGATCGATGTTAACCTTGATGTTTCTATATAGATGTATTTGGAATAAATTAATTGTTAATACATATAGGTCAATAATGTTCGTTAATTTTACTTACCCGCTTTCTTGAACTCTTCGGTTTCTGAGAGAAGTTTGGCAGCTTTGTCGCTATCCACAAAACCAGGTATGCGATTGAAAATAGCATTGAAACGACGCCGCACTTGTTATCCTGAATTTTCTTCCAGGTTTGAACACGTAGTGACCGTTTGTTGGCTCCAGCGGTTTCATTAGCTAAAAAGTATAATAAAATTAAACAAGACTCACACATACAAGAGTAAGGCAATACTGAATAGGACGTTATTACAAAATATATTATAATAAATAACATTCGAAAGAATTTCATGCAAAACGTATTTATAACGAATGTAATATTAACATGTCATCGCAATGTTGAACGCGGCGAGCAGTCAGTCTGTTCGCATCTTCTTAGCCTCACCTTCATTTTCATAAACTCACTTAACACAAACAAATTTATATACCATATACCAATTATCCATTTATGTAGGAAACTAAATAATAGTTAATTATTGTTAATTGTGCCTACAGTGAAAATTATGTCATTAACCATTTAGCATTCTAGCAAAGCAACGAAAATGGATCTAACAAGTAAGGAAGTACTTTCAGGTGTTGCAAAGCTTTATACTTGTAAGAAAAATGTTGCGAATGAATTTGTATTCATTATTCGAAGAAGAAATCGTGAATAAATTAAAACAAAATTCGGTATCTTCTTGACTTATATTGAAGATCATTAACATAGACTTAATTTTATTGCTATATTTTAGTTCGCGTCAGATTTAAATTATATTAAAACATCTTCAAATAGATATGTGTGATATCAACTAACCGAAGAGGCTAAATTTAATATACAAGTACATTGAGTTGATATGGAAAACGTCAAACCAGAGGAGGAGAATTTATTATATTAGGGATATGAGGTTTAGACTAAGGTCTAGATCAATTCCATTCTAATTCAGCGCTTAACTAAATAATCTTAAAATATAATTTGTCCATTTAAATTAATTAAAATGTCACACATTTTGAACAAACTACCTGAAAGGGTTTAAATACAGAAGGAAAGACGGAAATTATTTCATAGGTTATATTGGGATAGAGAAAGGGACGGGCTGCATTCAATTTTTGACATTGCTCAGTTATGTATTACTCGAGAACATATTTTTAAGCAATTTTTATATAATAATACTCATTCAATTCGGCATAAAACTTGTTAATATAACGAAAATCATTATAGTAGTATATGGAAGTTGGAATAGTTTTGACCTGATTTTTATCAATTTTGCCAATACAACATACTACGAACATGTCACAGACTAATAAATGTACCAGGTTTTATTAAGGTACCTCACATACCATCACCAATCATATGGATTTAAGTCAGTAGTTATATGGGGGCGAGGTCACTTTACCCAATTTTATCCATTTTTAGCACAAGATACACCGTTATTAGAAAAACATATTGAAATGAACACATATTGGCCGATATATGCGGTATAAAGTCAACCGGAAGTCAAAATTTATAATATAGGTATATGGGGCTAAGAAGTATTGACCCGATTCATCCCATTTTTACATTCGCACATACTATTATCAGGAGGATTTTCTCCTAATTTCAATTATATATTTCACATATTGACCGATATTTTCGGTAAAAGTCAACTATTAGGGCCTGGGTCATAATTCTGTACCTTGAACAATTTTTGGTCATAAGGTGGCATACTTTAAAAAGCATTATTCATGCAAGGCGTCTCTCGTCCATTTTCGAATCCGAGAAGAATGATATATGCTGAATTTTGTCTGAAATCGGTAAGCATGTCCCGATATTTGTGATTTCACCTAAAGTGGACGGGTCACGCCCTTGTCCAATTTGGCCGCGGCTCCATAAAGTACTTTCATACCATCTCGGGGTAAATTTAATGTCTTGGCGTATTTATTCATTGATTTATCACGCTTAAGTATTTTTGACAGTACCGTTATATTGGAGTGGGCGGGGTTATCATCCGATTCACTTAATTTTCCACTATCGTAAGGTTTAAAAATTTGTCTCGTGCAAATTTGGGTGATATAGATTTATTGATTTGGAAGAGGCAGAGGGCGGACTACGCCCACTCTTTAAAGATTTTCAAACCACAGTGACCTCCTCCTTAATGGATTGTCAAATTGAGCGTGTTTTAAATTGCTTTATTAATACGTTTTCTTTACGTGAGCGTGGCAGTGGTCCGATAATATCTCACCAACTGTCTTTACTATGCCAGAACATGTACAATTCTCATATATCTAATTACTCAGTTACAGCTCACTGGACAGACAGTCACCCAGATTTCAACTTGTCTTTCATCCTGATAAATTATATCTTTATATATGTACAACCCTATAACGAACTCGACTATTTTTAGGTGATACAAAAGCAAACAACCGTTAGTGACCAAACTATTCTTGTAGCAACATGTTGCAAAAGTATAAAACTGGTGCAATGTTGTGGCATTCATTAAGATGAAAAAATCATACGAATCATCAACAATACATACCAAGTGCTACCCAAAATTATGACTATCCTTAGACACAAAAATTACAAAAACATTTACTACTTAAAGAAATATTAAACCTTCCCATATAAACTGATCGATCACACTCAAGTTCCAAAGTATGGAAAAGTATTTTTTTGACAAGATTGTTCGTGGAATTTGTGTGGATTATTGTCCAAGACAGTACAGTGTACAGTAATCTAAACTATTCTTTCAGATCAGACCACTATTGCATACAGCCTGTCACGTGCAACCGAAATAACGGGTTTTCTTGATTTTCCTATAAAGTTAACTCCTTTAAAAAATATGATCATTTTTGTTTCGTTTCATTTTCGTTTATATATTTCAATTCATTGTTTCACAAGTTTAATATTTTATTTAATGTTCTTGTATAAAAAAGGAAAGTAAATGTGTATTCTTGTTTTATAATATGTTAAGAGGAGAACAAAAAAATAAAAGTCTCACCATAATGGGAAAATATTTTAAATTAATTAAAATAAACGCACAAGTTTCTTCTAAATGTTTCAATTGTTAGTACAATATATGTTTGTTGCTTGTTTCGCAAACATTTTTATATTTTTTTTAGTTTTTCATGTCATTAAAAATGTATGCGGCGGCTCATGCTGCAAGAGCAATTTAAATAACCGCGTTTCAAATTGGAACAGGACATTTGGAAATTGCGTTGAGAATTAATTCCCGTTAATTTCGTTTTTACTTCTTTATATATAACTAAATATATATGTATATATTCCCTTATTTTTCGTTTTTATGTATTTTTACTTGTTTTTTTTTTCTTTTTCTTTTTATTTTTTATTTTTTATATTTACTAGTTATCTTCGTAAATTCAGTTTACAAATAAGTTAAAAAGTGCGCGCAAGCTAATAATTGTTAAGAGTATTTTTTATCTACGCAATACAAGAAATTAAACAAATTAATATAATATAATATATTACAATCGAAATTAAAACGGCGGGGATGGTAAAAAATCAAACAAATATTTTGCTCAGAACTTGGCTATCATAATACCCCGCATTGGCAAAGAACAAAAATCTTTACTTGTTTTATGTGTTAATTTGTTAAAATATTTTGAAATATTAAAGAAAAAAAAACAAAAAAAACTAAGCTGACATTCGAAAAAAATAAGAAACGTGCGTAGTTGCATAATATGTTACTGAACGGGGAAGGCAAATATATGTATGTATGTATATGTAGGGGCGGGTGTTGACGGAGGAGTAAATGAATGTTAAACAATTTTCTCTCGTTGAACGCACGATTCCAAATGTCCCAACCAAAAGTACAGCCGTTTCAAAACAGCACGTAGCTCATACTATACGGTGGTAGTATCGACGGACTCGATGCGAGCAGCGCCAGCATCACCGCCTGCAGCAACGTCACCATTTTCTGTAGCACCGTTTCCACCCGCAGCTTTCTTCTCATCAAACTTGAGCAACTCTACATTGACCGTGACGGGTTTTGTCTGTTGTGATTGCACAACGCCTGATTGATCGCCTTCCGCCTAAAAGAATATAAAAATAATAATAATATTATTACATGGCTGTATATTTGTGTTATTAAAAACAAGAAAAACGTTAAGTTCGGCTGCATCGAAACTATAATACCTTTCACAGGTGCATAGCAAAAAAAGATTATAACAATATCTTATCTTAAAATTGATCGGTCAGATTTTATGGCAGCTATGTTTATGCTTTAGTGGCCTGGTCTGAATAATATCTTCCGAGATAACAATATATGCCAAATTTAGTGAAGATATCTTGTCAAATCAAAACGTTTTCCATACAAAGACTTGATTTTGACTGATTACTTTGTATGGCAACTATATCCTATAGTAGTCGGATATCAGCGGTTCCGACAAATGAGCAGCTTTTTAATTTCATTATGAAAAATTAAATAATTTCCTATGCAAAGTAGCTGGTAGTTTTGTACTTACACCTTGTTGTTCAGTGTCGATTTGAGAATTAGCGCCACGTTGGTTGCGACGTCCGTAGCGCCGACGACCACGGCGACGACTGCGTCCATTCTGATTTTGTTCAATATCGGTATCCACTTCTTTCAGCACAATTACTTTACCGGCATTCTCTTCGCTTTCCTTAAGCACCTGAAGGGCAGGTACAATCTTAAGACGACGCTCCGAAAGCAATTCCCAGAATATGCCAGTCGGACGTGGCAACCGTGTGCTGACATGTATAACCTCTGTGGGTGTTACAATTAAGTCAACAGGAGTATCGTATTTTTGAAATAGCTCATTTGGCAGGCTATCAACAACCTAGAAGCAAATGTTTGTAATATATTAAAAATCATTGGAAATATTTGATGCAAATGCACAGAACGCTTGCACGCATAGTTTATCAATTAAGTAGCGACGACTACTATTGTATATTTCCTTAGTTCTATATACTGAGAGATAGGCTTACATACAAATATATTGTATATTGCTTTTTGTTTTGCTTTATGTCATACCTGCAGGTCATGTACCATCGTAGCGATTACTGTGTCGGGCGTAATTGAACCAATTTCCGTAAGTAACCCAATATCCACATCGGTGAAACCTTTACCGCGTCCAATGCGGTAACCATCTCGTGATACTACCACCGAACCAATGACTACCATATCCAACTTAACTTTGCTATCTAAAGCTGTAAAAGAAAACGAGTGGTGTTGATGTAAAACACTATTGGGAAATGATGTCATGGTGACATTGATTATTCAAACCGTATGTAACTTACTTATTTCAGTGCGATGTTGCTGGACATCTTGTACATTTAAAATTTCCTTCTTCTGGTCATCTGTGGCGTCAGCAGGTACGTCAACTTTTAAATATATAGCTTTAGAGTCACGCGTTCCTGGTAAATACAAATTTTTTCCAGCTATCAGAGTTTCCAATTTAACCGAATGCAAAGCGCGATCGATGTTAACCTTGATGTTTTCTATATAGATGTATTTGGAATAAATTAATTGTTAATACATATAGGTCAATATATGTTCGTTAAATTTTACTTACCCGCTTTCTTGAACTCTTCGGTTTCTGAGAGAAGTTTGGCAGCTTTGTCGCTATCCACAAAACCAGGTATGCGATTGAAAATAGCATTGAAACCGACGCCGCACTTGTTATCCTGAATTTTCTTCCAGGTTTGAACACGTAGTGACCGTTTAGTTGGCTCAGCGGTTTCATTAGCTAAAAAAGTATAATAAAATTAAACAAGACTCCACACATACAAGTAAGGCAATACTTGAATAGGAGCGTTATTACAAAATATATTATAATAAATAACATTCGAAAGAATTTCAATGCAAAACGTATTTATAACGAATGTAATATTAACTATGTCATCGCAATGTTGAACGCGGCGAGCAGTCAGTCTGTTCGCATCTTCTTAGCCTCACCTTCATTTTCATAAACTCACTTAACACAAACAAATTTATATACCATATACCATATTATCCATTTATTGTAGGAAACTAAATAATAGTTAATTATTGTTAATTGTGCCTACAGTGAAAATTATGTCATTAACCATTTAGCATTCTAGCAAAGCAACGAAAATGGATCTAACAAGTAAGGAAGTACTTTCAGGTGTTGGCAAAGCTTTATACTTGTAAGAAAAATGTTGCGAATGAATTTGTATTCATTATTCGAAGAAATCGTGAATAAATTAAAACAAAATTCGGTATCTTCTTGACTTATATTGAAGATCATTAACATAGACTTAATTTTATTGCTATATTTTAGTTCGCGTCAGATTAAATTATATTAAAAACATCTTCAAATAAGATATGTGTGTGATATCAACTCAACCGAAGAGGCTAAATTTAATATACAAGTACATTGAGTTGATATGGAAAACGTCAACCAGAGGATAGAATTTATTATATTAGGGATATGAGGTTTAGACTAAGGTCTAGATCAATTCCATTCTAATTCAGCGCTTAACTAAATAATCTTAAATATAATTTGTCCATTTAAATTAATTAAAATGTCACACATTTTGAACAACCTAACTGAAGGGTTTAAACACAGATGGAAAGACGGAAATTATTTCATAGGGTATATTTGGGATAGAGAAAGGGACGGGCTGCATTCATTTTGACATTGCTCAGTTATGTATACTCGAGAACATATTTTTAAGCAAATTTTTATATAAATAATACTCATTCAATTCGGCATAAAACTTGTTAATATAACGAAAATCATTATAAGTAGTATATGGAAGTTGGAATAGTTTTGACCTGATTTTTATCAATTTTTGCCAATACAACATACTACGAACATGTCACAGACTAATAAAATGTACCCAGGGTTTTATTAAGGTACCTCACATACCATCACCAATCATATGGATTTAAGTCAGTAGTTATATGGGGGCGAGGTCACGTTTTCACCCAATTTTATCCATTTTAAGCACAAAGATACACCGTTATTAGAAAACCATATTGAAATGAACACATATTGGCCGATATATGCGGTATAAAGTCAACCGGAAGTTCAAAATTTATAATATTAGGTATATGGGGGCTAAGGGAAGTATTGACCCGATTCATCCCATTTTTGACATTCGCACATACTATTATCAGGAAGGGATTTTCTCCTAATTTCAATTATATATTTCACATATTGACCGATATTTTCGGTAAAAAGTCAACTATAGGCTCTGGGGTCCAAATATTCTGTACCTTGAACAATTTTTGGTCATAAGGTGGCATACTTTAAAGGCATTATTCATGCAAGGCGTCTCGTCTAGTCCATTTTCGAATACCAGAAGAATGATATATGCTGAATTTTGTTGAAATCGGTCAAGCATGTCCCGATATTTGTGATTTCACCTAAAAGTGGACGGTGTCACGCCCTTTGTCCAATTTTGGCCGCGGCTCCAATAAAGTACTTTCATACCATCTCGGGGGTAAAATTTAATGTCTCTGGCGTATTTATTCATTGATTTATCACGCTTTAAGTATTTTTTGACAGTACCGTTATATTGGGAGTGGGCGGGGTTATCATCCGATTGCACTAATTTTCACACTATCGTAAGGTTTGAAAAAATTTGTCTCGTGCAAATTTGGGTGATATAGATTTATTGATTTGGAAGAGGCAGAGGGCGGGACTACGCCCACTCTTTAAAGATTTTCAAACCACAGGTGACCCTCCCCTCCTTAATGGAATTCGGTGTCAAATTTGAGTTCTGTGTTTCAAATTTACGGCTTAGTTATGGCACTTTATACGTTTTTGCTTAATGGCGTTTTGTGAGCGTGGCAGTGGTCCGATAATCATCATCCACCAACTCGTCTTTACTTTTATGCCAAGGAACATGTGTACCAATTTTCTCAATATATCCTAATTTTTACTCAAGTTACAGCTTGCACGGACAGACAGTCACCCAGATTTCAACTTGTCTTGTCATCCTGATAAATTATATCTTTATATAATGTACAACCCTATAACGAACTCGACTATTTTTAGGTGATACAAAAAGCAAACAACCGTTAGGTGACCAAAACTATTATACTTTGTAGCAACATGTTGCAAAAGTATAAAACTGGTGCAATGTTGTTGGCATTCATTAATGATGAAAAAATCATACGAATCATCAACAATACATACCAAGTGCTACCCAAATTATGACTATCCTTAGACACAAAAATTACAAAAACATTTACTACTTAAAGAATATATAACCTTCCCATATAAACTGATCGATCACACTCAAGTTCCAAGTATGGAAAAAGTATTTTTTTGACAAGATGTTTTCGTGGAATTTTGTGTGGATTATTGTCCAAGACAGTACAGTGTACAGTATCTAAACATATTCTTCAGATCAGACCACTATTGCATACAGCTGTCACGTGCAACCGAAATAACGGGTTTTCTTGATTTTCCTATAAAGTTAACTCCTTTAAAAAATATGATCATTTTTGTTTCGTTTCATTTTCGTTTATATATTTCAATTCATTGTTTCACAAGTTTAATATTTTATTTAATGTTCTTGTATAAAAAAGGAAAGTAAATGTGTATTCTTGTTTTATAATATGTTAAGAGGAGAACAAAAATAAAGTCTCACCATAATGGGAAAATATTTTAATTAATTAAAATAACGCACAAGTTTCTTCTAAATGTTTCAATTGTTAGTACAATATATGTTTGTTGCTAGTTTCGCAAACATTTTTATATTTTTAGTTTTCATGTCATTAAAATGTATGCGGCGGCTCATGCTGCAGAGCAATTTAAATAACCGCGTTTCAAATTGGAACAGGACATTGACATCTCTTCT